TGCTGTCGCAATGGCTTCCGTTTCAAGCCATTCCATGTAAACCCCAAATATCAACCGGGACGAGGGGGGATACAGGCTTAGTCACGTGTGGACTAAGCTATTGACCACCACACCATCTGGTGGTCAAAACTGATTAAATTCAGTTAGCTTTGAGAAAGCTTCCTGACAGGAGGCGAAACGTCAGCGGTACGTTTCATACCAGCACGGTTGAGTAACAATTAACGTGGTTTAATAGGAATTAAATTTAATGGAATAGCAACAACTATAACTACCATCATCAATAACAAATGCAATAAAAATAATAATAATAATAATAATAATACCAATAGCAACGGCAACAATAGGGACGTCGTCGACGACGACGACGACGACAACGACGACGACGACTGTGACAACCATGACGGCGACAACGATTGCGACAAGGACGACGACGACGACTGTGACAACCATGACGGCGACAACGATTGCGACAAAGACGACGACAAAAACAGCAGCAGCACCAGCACCAGCACCAACTACAACAACAGTGGCAATATCACAACACAGTGGCTGCGCGTCCGGTCAACGCTCAGCACAGATTCCAAAATCCAAATAAAATACAAAATAAAATACCTAAAAGTAAATAATATTATGGTAAAAACTTATTGTTTTTTGTATTTTACTGAAAAAATATAGATAGATAGATAGATAGATTCAAGAGACAATAATGCATTATTATATTTGCTATTATTAGCTAGGATATTATTAGATCCTGATGTAATGACTTTGTGTTATTTCATTATTTGCAACCATCATTGTTATAGAGCAGTGCGTCCCATTATCTGCCCGGAGTTTTAAAGGTTAAATTTTTTCAGTGTTTATATTGAGATTTAAATTTAACGGCGCCTTGCTAGCCTCCTCCAAATCCGTCAAGATTTGTGTCTGTTAGTAACTTTACTAACCTTACTAACTTTACTTTTTTTAGTGTTTATATTGAAATTGAAATTGTGTTTGCGGAAAGTTGGTGGCGAAGAGAAAAAAAGAGGGAGAGAGAGAGAGAGAGAGAGAGAGAGAGAAAGAGAGAGCGGGAGGGAGAAGGAAAGAGAGATAGGGGGATGGAGAAGAAAATAGAAGGAGAGGGGGAGGGATGAGGTGAGGAGAAAGAGAGGATGAGATCACGTTATTCGTGTAGATAATATTACCGACACGATGCCTTTTTCAAATATACGAAACAACGATGTTTTTAATGCAATTTCAAATATTTATTACTACAAAAGTTAGTATTTACAATATGATGGTCCTTCATGGTCACAATTGCTTAACACGAGTAGTTGAAAGTTCGTCAGTTGCTCGTAATACACGGGCGTTCTCCTAGCCCGGTTAAAATCTTACTTAAAGGCACCTATAACAATTTCGGGATTTTGAGCCAAAATTTCTCAGAAAAGAGGTACTTTGCCCTAAGCCGAAAATAATATGTTGCCCTCGTTTATGTACGGTTCAGTCCGAGCTGTTTGGGTTGCTCGTTGAACGAAGCCGCGAGCTGCCTCGCAGGGGGCTGTGAGTACGCTGGATCAGCTACGGAGCGGTTACGTTTGAGGCATCCAGATTTACACGGCGGAGCGGCCGGCTGGGCAGGCTAGCATGCGGGGCGTCCGGAGTGGAGCGGCAGGCGAATCCCACGGGCGACGGGAGGACGAAGCGGATCGCTCCGTTGTATGTTCCGCTCGATTCTCGCTATACCGGCTCCCTGCTCGGAGTGAGGATGCCCTCTCCGCTGCGACCTTGCGTGCGGAACTGTGGGGTGGCGTCCTGGGCTGGCGCGTGCGGGGCTGAGCAAGACAGGTCGGACGACAGAAGTCAGAGCCGGAGGGTCGGCGTCCGAGTTCCCTCCTGCGCGAGGCGCCGCTAGGCTCCGTCTGACGGGCGTAGGCCGCCGTTACGGACGAATCGTATTCGACTAGACGAGCTGTCGGTCTGGGGCGAGCCGGTTGTTGCCTACCGGGGGCGCGCCTAGGCGGTGTTCCTCATCCCGGTGACG